TAAAGCTGGAACGATGGAACAGTCAACTCATCAGTTTCCCAGGTCACAGCCCAAGAGTTACCCTGGACTCCTTCCCCATGGACGGTTAAACAGAAAGATCCATAAAGCCCAACTATATCAGGTATCAGTTTATTTGCCTCCCAGTTCCAAATGCACCCTTCAGTATACGCTCTATGATAAACAACAGAATTTCTTTAAGCATTTCTCCTTTAAAGTGTGCACCTCCTTACGCTTCTGCAGTAGAGAGCGCTAGAGGGATATAGGAGAAAGAAGAGGCTTTTCGTAATTCCCAGCTTGGGCTGACAGTCAGCAGTGTAGGTATGAGAACGGCCAGTGGCATATGCCCCAGCCACGGGCCCAGAACACAGACCATCTGCAACTTTGCAACATCTGCCTGGCGTTAACCTTTCCTCAGCCACCTGTCCAGACTTCATCCTTTCAGTAATGAGAAAGGTGACTTTTTGCTGAATTGGATAATAGTTTCTGAATGCTGCAAGAATATTTCCTCAGTTTTTGTGTGTGTGCTATTACAATGTAACAGCCACAGACAGTGCAAACTTTTAAGTTTAATCTGCATTGTTAACATATTCACCATTACTTTCTTAAGTTTAGACAATCGACAAAACAATAAATCAAGCTCTGGTCTGTAGTGTTCGGCAATTTCCATTGTGTAAACACTACCAATTCCCAGCTACCAACGTGGCATCACTGAATGTGGAGTTGAGAAGGGATGGTAGGCCACCATCATATAGTATTTTCACTACACGAATATAGTAGGCATAAGTAACGCCAACAGCATAACATAAGAGCAAAATGAAGTAAACTATCAGAAAATGAGGCCTTTGAGTATATCACCTTGTTTTCAATTTAACTTATTCGGTGTGAAATTTTATATAATTCAATTTTAATAATTAACAAAATTAATTAATTTTAATAATTAACAAAATTAAAGAAGAGGTGACTCTCAAAATTCACCTCTTCTGAGCCAGTGTGAACCAGCTCTAGCATACCGCTGGATCAGACCCTCGCTGATATTGCACAAGTTTCTAACTTGTCACCCAATCTCCCTCTATTCATTGATCGTTCACATTTCAAACACGTACAGGTCACAAATCCTCATCCACCATTCCAAAGTCAACAAAGCTCTGAAAATAGCAGCTGTGGTGCAAACTCACTGTGTGGTAAAACCAGGTGAGAACCAGCATGAGACCATCTATTGTTCTTATTTGTTCTAATTTTAATACCACATGTTTCCTTGAAAAAGTATTAACAAGTTTGATTATGGGGTGCTGTCCCAGACCTCCATTTGGGGCATAAAATAAACAGCATATGCATTGTTTTACCTTTCTAAAATCTGAAAAGTTCTCAATCTCACTCACACATCTTGTCCCAAAGGTTTTGGATAAGGGATTGTGGACCTTTAGTGATCTTTATAAAATATAAACATGGTCACACTTTCTCACCCTTCAGTGCCTCCCCACCACCTGTGGGACAGAATCTAAGTTCTTAACCATGATGCATGAGGCCCTTAAGTACTTCTCCAGTCTCCTCTCTTGACAGTTCTCACCTTGCCCTCCTATGTCCAACTACTTCTAGGAGTCTGGCCAACCATGACTAAAGATTGAGCTGGGCTCGTTAATCACCCCACACCTACAGCTCACACCCTTGAGATGAAGGGATCAGAACCCAAATACAGGAGTGCAGTTCATCTTCCTTGTTCTGTCTGATCTTCATCTGGCCGCTTCGTCTTCCCTAGTCTCCATTTCTCATCTGTAAAATGGCAGTCATAAAACCAGCAAAGCTGTAGCGAAGCTAAAGCAAGTTCATGGACGTGAAGATACTTTACAAAGTGCTCTCTACATCAAAAGGGTTGTTACTCTCATCATCCCAAAATTGGAATACTTGTTTGAAAGCAGGAATTCTTTAAACTGTTGAATGAGCAGCATCTCATGAAAGAGCTGAAAGTCGATGTGCATAAAGCCCAGTCATTTCCATCACACACAAGAAGTGTTATGCTTGAAAAGAGTCTTGTGTGGTTGGGGAAGTTGGTCAATATTATAGCCCTTGTAATTCATAAGAGCTGAATGGATGGCTCTCCTTCCATTCTGATAAAGAGGAGAGGGGACAAGAGTAGCTCCAGGTTCTCACCTTTCTGGGCCTATGTGTTTATATGTTTGTTTCGTTGAGGTTTTTTTAATGCTGTTATTTGGGGTGGTTGGTTTCTGTCTGCTTTTGCTGTTGTTGTTTTTACCTCTCCCTCTATTGACGCACTACAAACAAGCAAAAGACTTAAGTGTGAAAGGTCATTCGAAACCTCTACACCCACCTCCTTTGACAAAGAGCCTCCCACATTCTGCTCAAACAGTCACAGTGACTGGAAGCCTATTCATTTAGTCCAGATGCCAGAACCATCTTCTTTCCAACTGGCAGCTCTTTCCATTGCAAGAAGGCTGTTTGAACCAGCTGTAAGGCTTAACTGGCAAAGAAAAGAAACTGGCAAATTTGTACTATGGTAGAAATGACTATAATCAGATCTTTTCTTGGTGGTAGCTTTTCATGGGGGTGGGGGAGGAGTAAGAGGATTTTGGCAGAGAGGAAGACCAAACAGAAGACAAAAGAACTACCATTTAAAGAGGAGAAATGCGTTCCAGTATGCAAAGGAAGAAAGCCTGTCAGTAAACAAGCAAATGTGGTTGCTTGAAATTCCATGTGCACAGGATACAAGCCTTATTGCTGTCCTTAAAATAAATGGGTACCAAAAAACAAAACAGAAATAGAAAACTGGTTGCCAGATAGTCCTTACCACCTCTTTGAGCTTCCTATTAGGTTCAACACTGGGTGCAAAACTTGGGTCTTTGGGGCACAGCTGTTCATACTTAATCTGAAAACTACCAGTTTTACCAATCATTCTAGTTGATGTTAAGTCAAACACACAGAATTATGCTACTAAACCTCAATGCGGATCACACAATCTGATTTATCTTTGGATAATTGATATCTACAGGCCTGTATAATCACTGAACAAAAACATTCAGATGAACCAAAAAATGAGTCAAACTTCTATACAAATAAAACCAAACAATTAACATATTCACTATTAAAGAAACTACTGGGGCCAGCCCTGTGGCCGAGTGGTTAAGTTCGCACGCTCCACTTCAGCAGCCCAGGGTTTCAGTGGTTCCAATCTTGGGCATGGACATGGCACTGCTCGTCAGGCCAGGCTGAGGCGGCATCCCACATGCCACAACTAGAAGGACCCACAACTAAGATATACAACTCTGTACTGGGAGAGGATTTGGGGAGAAAAAAAGCAGAAAAAAAAAGAAAAGAAATTACTGATTCTATTTTTTGAGAATTCAAATACAGTCACTACTGGATTTTGAAGGACCACATTTGCTCATTCATCCCCATTACTGAGATGCGCCTTAGAAACAAAATTTGTAAGGGTTTACTTTTGATTTGACCTTTAGAATTTACACAGACATCTGTCCTAATCAAGGCAGACTTTTCATTTGCACAAGTCAAATTTTACTCTGCGGATGGGAGCTGAAGAGTGGGGAATGAAATGTGGGTTGGTAAAAGGTGAATTAGAGACAAGCCTGAACTGTAGGCTTTCCTTTTCCTTAGAGGTAACCAGAGATGATAGAAATAGAGGTGGCTAGGACAGAAATAAAGGCTTCCAAAAACAGGCCTTTTACCAACAGTTAGTACTTGTGAATAGAGGGGCCTTAATATCTATTGAAATCCACTATCTTAGCGACTTTAAGAGTTTTATAATGTTATCTCATTTAGTCCTCACACCCACTCTTCAAGTACATATCATTATCTCCATTTATAGATGAAGAAACAAATGCTCAAAAGTTGTCAGGTTAGTTTTCAAAAGTTCATTTTCATTCAATTCTTGGAACACATTGGAAACACTGAAATAATATGGTGGTCAGTCAGATGGACTCACAGCTGATCTGGTTCTCCATTTCATTGATTGAGGGAGTTGTGCTGGCCTGGATGGTTAAACATTCAACTGTTGCCCTCCAGAAACTTAATCAAAAAAGATGCCCTGCCCAGTGGTGAAAGATTAAATAATTCTTTGCTCAAAGCATAGGAATTACTGAGCTTTTCTGCTAGATCCTTCAGTGATCATGTTACTAAGCCAGAAAACTTACTGAACTGATTAAGTATCTGAAATGAAGCTCTAATTGCATTCTCCAATTAATATTATGGATTCTGTACAAGAAAAAAAGTGACTCCCTTATTATGTGAATATTTTACTTACATTGTAAAGACCATGGCATTGCTAACATTCTCCTGGTGGGTGAAGAAAAGACTGCACAGACACTAGAGTTTCAGAGCAGGCCAGAAGCGTGGCCATCTTCATGGTGTCACTCGCAGTGAAAGCCCTTATAGCTAAGATAAACCTTGTGGGTGAATGGAGGCAGTTATTAAAGCAAAAAGACTTAAGTATTAGACTTGATTTTTATCCTAGCTCTGGACGCGTGGCCTGTCTTCTCTATCCTGCAGGATTTTCCTGGTTTTTCTGCTCATGTTACTGTGCATAAGATAAAATTCAAACCGTATATGCTGACTTCGTTCATACTCTTTCCTAGCCTTCCTTTCCACTGCACCCAGAGTGGATGGTTAGTAGCCTGATGTGGTTGGAGGGAGAGTGCTTGTGAGAGACAGAGACTGGAACCAGAGTGATCAGTTAGGAGACAACTGCAATAGTCCTTGAAAGCAATGATCAAAGTCTGACTTCCAGGAGTCATAGTAATGGTTGAGTGAAGTGACTAGCCCGGAAAACAGTTGTAGGAGTCAAATCTGGTCGTACTATCAGCTGTGGGGTACCAAGAAACTTTCCTCTCTAATTGGATATGTCAGTCAATTAATCACCTTACAGAGGAACCAGAAGAAAGTCTTCCACAGGCCCATCTCCTATTCTGTTACAGTGGCGTCAAGGAAAATGCTACATTTCCACTGCCCTTCACTTAGCCGTCACTACTCACTCTGTCAAGAGCCAGAAGCCTTGAATGGTCTCTCCGGAAGTCTTGGTTACGTGGCATTTCAAATCTTCCATGGCAGTCTCAATGGCTCCTGGCTGAGTAGGAAGAAGAAAATACCTAGTTTAGAGAAGACCAAGCCTTCTTTGTGCATAGGATTAGTTAGTATGTCCTGCAGCTCTTCCAGAAAGCTGATCAGGAAAGAAAGTTCTTGCATTTGCCTGTTTGTTCTAGGCACTGCCTGCTGGAGAGCTGGTCTTGGACTCTGGTATTTACTAAGCTGCTCTCCTTGGATGAGATGAAAGTGATCCAAGTCCTGTCTTCCACAATCTTACTCTTGCTTTTTCATAGAAATGAAGACAGCCATTTTCAGAGGACCATCTTTTCCAAACAAACGTGTTTATCAGGATGTTGAAAGCATTTAGCAATATATGTATTTCTTAAATCAAACGTTTCTCTCTTCAAAGAGCACATGACAACAAAACACAAAAAACAAACCTTCTTCCAACATCCTGACCATAGTTTTAGCTGACTCTGAGAAATGAGCTTTTTTTGTCTCCTTTCCTGGCTTTCTTCACCCTTCTCTATGCAGGTGTTCCTACTTAGAGGCCTACCTCTAGCTTAAAAATTGATTAACCCCTGTTGTACTAAGAAATTCATAGGCCCTCTAGCTCAATGATTCTTAAACTTCAGTGCACAGCAGAATCACTTGAAGTGTGTTTTAAAATACTGATTTCCGGGCACTGTCCCCAGAGTTTCTGATTCAGTAGGTCTGGGGTGGGCCTGAGAACTTGCATTTCTATCAAGTTCCTAGGTGATGCTGTTGGTGTGAGACTCAACTATGAGAACCATTGCTCTCTAGGCAGTTATTCTCAACTTTGGCTACACAGCAGTATCATCAAGGAAATTTTTAAAAATCTTAAGGCCCAGGCCGTGTACCAGGCCAATTATGTCAGATACTCAGTGGATGGGACCCACATATCCGTACATTAGGATTTTTAAAAGCATTCCAGATGACTCCAATGTGTAGCCAAGGTTGACAACCACCCCAGCCCAGAGCTTATCTAGTGTAAACCATTTCATTTTATAGGTGTGGGAACAGGGGCAAGTGTGGGGAAGTAACTTGCCAGGTTCACTCGGCTAAGAAGTGGCAGAGACAAAGCAAGAAACCCAAACCTTCTTTTTCCAGGCCTACAGCACAGTGCTGGCCTCACTGCCAACCCTGGGCTACTGATGAGTAGGTTACAAGTTCTCAGGTATTCTCTATATAATAAGGCTTTGATATTAAGCACCTAATCTTCTCTAAAATATTAACATTCCTAATTTTACCAGCCTGAGAGCCTTTTCTCACAAAAGGAAACAGGGACACCAGCTTGGCTAGGACTCATTCAACCACCTTTTCCTCCCAGAAGTGGGGTGGTAGTAGGATTTGAGTTTGTTTGTTTTCTCAGTCTGTGAAAAAAGGCTTTGAAACATTTTGGCCACAGAGTCCATTGGTCAAGAAAAATCTTACATCAGAATCCATATATGGAAAACAGGAAAAGAATAGGTGAGGGTAAATGGTACAGAGCTTTACCTACTTAGTTCTCTCCCTCCCCTCCATTTTACTCTACACAGCCCAAGTCATCCAGGAAATGGACATGACAACTCCTAAACAAAGGGTTGACTGACCTGGGTTCATATTCCAGATCTGTCATGAATGAATTCTGTGACCTACAGCCAATTATTTGACTTTCTTTGGCCTCCATTTCCTTATCTATAAGACAACTGAGTAGACTGAACCAAAGCTTTCTGAGCCAAGCTCATATCAAAACCTCCTGGAAATCTTTAAGAAAACATGATCACAGCCCTTACACCAAGAGATTCTGATTCTATCATTTCAACAAATTTCCTGTTGAATTGGTCAGTCAGCCAGTGGACTGAATGATTTCTAACTTTCTTTTCATCCTTTGCTTCTGGTTAAAGTGTTGTCAGAAAGCTAATGTGGCACCCCATGCCTGCTGAAACCTGCGTGTCATGAAATCAGTAAGTTCTGGGACATTAATCAAACATGCCTTGAGCTCCCACTGACAGAGGATGTTGTGCCAACATCACTGGTTTCAGTGACCCTGCTAGTAGGACTGGACTACTGTGGAAGGAAATTCTCTATATCCCACGACGAGTCTCCCATCACCCAACCTCAGCTCCTTGAGGTGCAGCCTGACTCTACCAGGCTCACTGGTCAACGTTCTCTAAAAAATAATACTTTCTTTAATGACTCATCATGGGTATTTTTACTGTCTCTCCTCCTGTAGTCATATAATTTCTGCCTCAGCTAATATAACTTGGTAGTAAAACCAACACTTTCCAGAAGAAAAAAATCATAAGTGGAATTGGAAAATAGTGAAATAATCCTAAAATAAGCATTTTGTTGAGTGCTTTTAAGCCAGGCACTTTGCCAAAAATATGTGAAGATGAATATAATGCTGTAGAATTTTTCAAAACCTTCCTTCTTGTGTTCCCTATGGAAAGCAATTGACAAAATCTATCAAAAGGATCTGTCCTTTGATCCACACATTCCACCTCTGTGAAGTTCTACTATAGATACTCTTGTGTATGTGCAAAATGACATATGTATAAAATGTTCTTTGTAGGCTTATTTGTGGATAGCAAAAATTTGGAAACAACCCAAATATCTATCAATAGGAAACTAGTTAGATATATTATGGGACACATCCATACAATGGAATGTGGTGAATATGTAAAAAACAATGAGGAAACCTGTATTAAAATGGAAAGATTCAAAATATATTATTAAGTGAAAGAAAAGAACGTTGAGAAGAGAGGGTAGATATGTTGCTTTTTGAGTAAAAGGGAGGATAAGGGATAAGGATAAATATTTGTGTTTGCTTGTATATACCTAAAGGAAGTCTAACAGAATAGGTAGAAACCATTAACAACGGTGCCCTAAGGGTGGGAAAGGAACTTGAAAGATGGGGACAGTGGATGAAGGTGATATTTTACTGTACACTTTTTCAAAAGTTAAACGTTAAAACTAAAGCATGTTCTTTACCGAATGATGTGAAAGTCTCTGGAGTTCTGTCAATGTCCTCACTGTGTCTGTGACGTTCTTACCTTCAGTAGAAACACTGGTCATGCCCTTATGGAACAGTTACACACTATACTCCAATAAAGTATTTTACTTTCCTCCATTTGTTGCTATTGGTACTATCATAAACTTCAGCCAGGGAGTGTTGGAAACGAAATAAAACATGTGAACTCTTTGACTTGTGTCTAGGACAAGGTTTCAGTCCCAGCCTTTCTGCTTGCTGTGAGACACACATTATGTCATCTTGTCATTCCGTACATCAGTTTACTCATTCGTTAGATGGATACGATAATATTAACTGTGACAGAGCTGTCAGGAGATGCCAAAAACATTTGGTAGCGCTGAATAATAAAAAACTTTATTATCATTTTTATTGTTAATATTAAACAGAAGGGAAATAATCATACCAGGATTTGGGGATCAAATGGTTACTGAAACGAAACAATTAGCTCTGAGACTCCTTGCAGACTAAAACTAATAGGAAATAATGATGGAATAATATGTACTCATCATCTGATAAAAGAGAGCTTCACAAGGCAGGACATATATATTTCTAATTCTCAATTTTAAGAAAAAATCATTAGCAGGGATCCTTACTTATAAGGGACTACATAGCATAATAGGCAATATCTTCTCTAATAGTCTAGCGCTGAATATCTTCAGTCAAAACAAACCTACTGAGAGAATTTCAAAGACATATGTGTTTGTTTCCTTGAGCTAGACTAGCCCGGGGCCAGTTGTCACACAAGAAACACTCCTGTCCCCGGCTAATATTTTCCTCTGTCCTGGACTTCTTAACTAGACAGTGAGAGGAGGGGGGGCATAGAAAGGAATGCTCCTAGGGACTGAGACACAGTAAGATCTCTCCTGTGGGTGTCATCATGTCCAGAGAAGGATCACTTTGTGGTAAATAGGTAAGATAAGAAAACCAGCTCCAAATTGTATATGATTTGCAAAGTCGTCTTTCCCTAAAAATGAAAGAAATGTATTTTATTTCATTATTGTTAAGTGTCTGCCCTCAGAAAGAAACATCAACTCTATTACAATCTTCAAGGGATTTCAGTGTAAGGAGGGGAGTTGAGAAACCTTTTGCCCAGTGAGATATATAATTTCTAGACCAGAAAGAAGATCACACAGACAATAATACAATACAGCTAATATATTCAGTTGTTCCCAATATAAGAGCAAGACACTAGGAACCCTGTAGTAAGAGAAGAGGGAAAGGGAGAGAGTATGAAAGCCAAATTAGTGTCATGAAAGCAACGACATCTTGCCACACAATGGGAAGTCCCAAACCTGCTTATTAAAGTCTCGTTGCTCACAATAGAACACAGGCTATAAAAAGGCCAGGGGGAACCATTAATTAAATATTAAAAGATCAAATAGTTTTAGCCCCATTAGTTTGTATGTAATTTACATTCTCAAGTATAAATTTAGAGATAATTCCCCATCCCTAATCGCTTTCAACTTTCTGATAAGGTATCTGCAAATATAGATTCCTACAGGGAGTTTAAAAATATCTTTCCCCATGCGGATCAAGTATTGTTCCTTTCATAAGAAGTCGCTTTTGAATATCAGTCTCCACAACTAAAGTGATTATCATAATACCTCGAGTTATTAGCCTTGAGGGATACTTTTGTTCAGAGATGGCACTAGGCCTTTTTTAGATATGTCTAAGCAGTAACAGCAGATGAACAAAAACAGGAGGAAAAGGTTATCCAAGCAGACTGATAGCAAGTGGGTCAGACCTTCATTATTGTGATGTCTCATTCATTGTCCAAGGCACTGTCAGAGGCAGTGGAGGGGTGGTGGAAAGTGTCAGGAGTCCTGGCTTCTAGGCCAGCTTCCAGTCCTGGCATGGCCCCTAAATTGCTGGTTGACCTTGGACGAGTCATATCTCCTTTGTGTGTTTCATGGGTTGGATTGGATATTCTCTGAGGCTCCTTCTGGCTCTGAGCAAGAATGTTGCTGAGCTATATCAGAAGGGCAAAGTTGCAATAAATAAATAATGGTCTAGAAGCCTGAGAGAAGGAGGCAACATCCCAGAGTAACCCATAAAAAAACACAAGAGGTTTAAGGGACCAGATTGACTTCTTTTATGATCTGGTATTGAGAGGTGTGATCTAATTTATGAGATTATAATGCCAAAAATGCCTCTTGTTTGTCCTGAATTAGTTTATACTTCCATATCAGTCACCTCTTTGTATATCTAGCTTGAAACTCATCAAACTGATCCTCCTTCTTATTATAGCATTGGGTGTCCACTCCTGGCGTCTGAGAAACTGGGTGCCATCCTGCAACAGCAAGCTGAGGAATAACTTTCCTTTATGGGTTAAAAGATATAAACAGGAAACAACCTAAACATCCAGCAAAAGTTAAATAAATTGTAGGACAGCTCCACAGTGGGATATTATGGAGCTGTTAAAAATCATGTTATGGAAGTTACTGACATAAGAAATATTTTGCCTGTAATCCTATTTTGCACAACAAATTGTACATGTAAGAAAAAAAGTAAGAAAGGATATGCACCAAAATGTATAAGAGCACATTCAACATATTTTGGTTAACTTTGAGCAATGGGATTATGGTGACTTTTATTTTGCTTATCCATATTTTCCTTTTTTCTTTAATAATCCACCTCCTGTGAAATGATTTTAGTCTTTTTTTTTTTTTTAAGTCAGGGGTTTTTTGTTTTTTTTTTTTTCAGGATTGGCACCTGGGCTAACAACTGTTGCCAATCTTTTTCTTTTTTTTTCTGCTTTTTCTCCCCAAACCCCTCCTGTACACAGTTGCATATCTTAGTTGCCGGTCCTTCTAGTTGTGGGATGTGGGACGCTGCCTCAACGTGGCCTGACGAGCGGTGCCATGTCCGCGCCCAGGATCCGAACCCTGGGCTGCCGCAGCGGAGCACACGAACTTAACCACTCGGCCACAGAGCCAGCCCCTAAAGTCTTTTAATAAAATAAAACACTTGACCAAGGAATTAGTCTACTCACTCACGTACTGTTCTTCTGAATTTGAAACATATATACTGTAAATTATTACACTGTAATAAATTGATTTCTTTTTAATTGCTGCATGGGATCATAGAACTATGAATTGGAAATTAGGAAACTGTGGTTCTAACCCTAGGTTTGCCACTTACTAGCCTCTTGGGCAAGTCAGTGCTCACTAATTGTCAAGACATTGCACAAGCAACTGTCCCTCTTTGGGCCTTGGCTGCCTATGAAAACAAGAGTGTAGATTGCTCCTTGGTGCTCAAAGTGTGGTCTGTGGACAGAGAGCATTGGTATTGCCACAGAGTTTATATAAATGTGGAATCTAAGGCCTCACTCCAGACCTGCTGAATCAGAAGCAGCATTTTAACGAGATCTCTGATGATTTGTTTGCTTGGTAAAGATTGAGAATCACTGGACCGGATCATCTATAGATCTCATTTCAGTTCTGAGAAGTGATACTTTATGATGAATCCTTCATAGAACTGAATCATTCAGAGCCTTGGTCTTATTTAACTATTCCTTGAGAAAATGAATCGGCTACTTTCACCTAAGTCTCTTTACTGCTACCCTACTAAGCACTCTTACAAAGTTAACTTATTTAAACCTCCATATAATACTGGTATTTTATCCACACTTTGCAGATGAGGAAATTTGTACGTAAATATAAATGCGTACACACACACATACATACATACATGCATTTCCCCCATTTTCTCAACTACCACTACATCAGACCAGATTTGTGGTTTACATGGTAGGAAAACTGGATCATTCCTTCATTTATTCAAAAAAACACTTATCATTATAAATTTCAGTTGAGCCAACAGCTGTATTTTCATTATCCTCACATACATTAAAGCACATTCATTATACTCACATGCTAAAAAGAACTTTTCATATCACGTCTCTTGGTCTGAAGGAGTAAAGGTTGAGTGCCTTAGGAATGCAGTCCTCACGGCTCCTAAGGAGTCCTCAGGTCTACTTTGGACTCACTAATAAGATTAGAAGGCTTTCCTTCCCAAGAACTTACGGTTATTTTCTATACACCTGATAGAGAAGATGCTCTTCCCATGGATCAGAGCCAGACATTAAAAATCCTTATAAATAGGCCATAAATTCAATTGTACATTATGGTAGGATGAGCACTGGCCTTCCAGACAGAAGATACAGATTCTAGCTCTGGCTCTTCCACTAATATTGTGTGACTCAGACAGGTCACTTCACTTTTCTGAAACTTCAGTATGTTTACCATTAAAACAAGAGTGAGAAACCCTTCCCTGCCTGCCTCACAGCGTTGCTCCCAGGGCCTTGACTTTCTAAGCTCCATAGAGCCATACAAATAAAGGCATCATGCAGATAAATACATAAAACCTCCATGGTGGCTTTTGACTGTGCCAATTTAGCTAAGCTGAAACTATATTTTCTAGAATTCCCTTTCCCGTCTGTTTCCAAATTAGGGTTGGCCACAAGAGATGTTTGTGTAAGACTGGAAAGGCAGAAATGAAACATCAGTCATTTTCCTTGCTGAAGATGAGTGCAGGCCACCAGGCACTGTGGCAGCTCAGATTCACAGCTGCTGATCTCCTGGCTCACTTGACGGCTTGGGGCAGCACCTTTTGTGACAGTCAGAGCTCCTCCCACAGAGTCTCCTTCCCATGGGCTAAGTGTGCAGCTCAGTGGAAAAAGACGCCAGTGTCTCCTGAAAGGGACTCACATCTTCAAGTTTAGACTCGGTAAGAGACAGACACAGGTTCCAGTTTTTCCTCACTAGTTCCACTTGGTCATGGGGAATTCCAGTTTGTCCATACAGGTTCCAGTTTTTCCCTATTCCCTATTTCCTCTTCACAACTGCCAACTGGTTGACCTATAGCAACTTCAGGCCTGTCACTAGATGCAAAGACAAGAGATTTGCATAGATTTCTCAGCCAGTTCTCATAATGACACCAGCTTCCAATGATAAATCCCTTATTCTGTATCTCTCATGGGTGTTCGTCTCTCATCAAACCCTGACTGCTACATGATCAATATCAATGGTAAGAAAACTTTAGAGGAATCTTTGATTTCCTCTGCAGCTATATCTTATAACTTAACTTGGCATATTCAATAAAATTCCCATACTTTGGAAAACAAACCATATGTCCTACATAAGCAAAAAGACTCACACAAACACAGTACAGCACCTACCAAAGCACCCTGCACGGAAGAGTCAATGAATATAGGTGATATGGGTACACGTTATCTTCAAACACACACATAACACATTGAGTCCCTTTTGTTAAAACTTTATCTTAACCAAAGATACATTTTAAAAGCTACAAAATAAGGATTAATTAATTAAAGCTTTGCAAATAGCCACAGAACCTTGGCCTCATTTATTTATGAGATTAAGTGGAAAAAAATTTTTTCAATAGAGATGTTCCACGTACACTTGAAAAATGAGATGGTCTCTGTTGCCACAACGCAAATCCCTGATTTTGCCCCCAGTTGATTGTAGCCTATGAGCTAACCACTACTGTGTTGACAAGAATGTTGAAGGATTGGGAAAGAAGATCTATAAGTGGGAAAGAGAGTTCAAGACAAAGAAAGGGACTAGAAACACATTGTCCACTCTCCACTTGATCCAAATGCTAGAAGTTTAAATATCATTTTTTACATCTAGACATACAAACCCGTCCTCATTACCCATCCATCCATTTACTTTCCCAGCTCCAATGCACAGGGAAGAGAGCTCAGCTCCAGACTGCAGCTATAGGTTTGGGATTTTAAAGTGCCTGCTCCCACACTGTAATACCAGTATCCCAACATAGACCCTTGAAGTTCAGCCTATTCTCAGCAAGCTTTTTCACTCCATCACCCATATCTTTTCAAATATACAGTAAACACCAACTCTGGGATCACAGCATTATATTCCAGCTGCTCTGGTTCTCTTTCCACAGAACATTAATTGGTCGATGTTAGGTTTAGCATGAACACAGGACTGAGGAGCCAAAGATCTATGGAGGCTGGAGGACCTGCTTCTCCTCAGTATTATCTGGCGATCAAAAATAGACCCTTCCCTTCTCTGAAATTCAGATCCTTCATCTGTAAAATGGAGATAAGGATAACTTCTTCACAGTTATTATGACTGTTACATGAGACATGTGAGAACATTTAGTAAAACATGTGGTATATAGAAGGATACTAGGATTTTTTAAAGAGAAGTCTTATGTAGTACTTAAGAGCACCAACAATTTTACCCGTGTAACGAAGTACTTCCGTGAGATATAAGGCCGGTGATACGGATTGGGGTAGAATGTTGATTCAGTCACACTTGGCTGTCTTGAAATCTGGCTTGGCACTGGGTCCTTGACTAGGTCCCCGTCCTCCATGGACAGCTTATCAGTCTCAGAGGGTTGGTCATCTCCTTCTTGCTTCAGAGACACAGGCTGGAATGCTTCGGAACTCCCAATCATTGACATCTCTTCAGCTTAAAACAAGGGAAGAAATAATCTTCTCATTAGAAGAAAAGAAAAGTCACCTGTGCCCTGGCTATGGCAAAACAGACTACAGTGAGCAAATGATGTTCCTGAAACTAACAAACCCACCCACACGTGAACTAAAGAGAGGCATTGATGGATGCAGTTCAATAATGCAAACTCCACAATCCCACAGGGCCATTTACCAGGGGAGAGAAGCAGAGACCCTCTAGACAAAGAAAAGGAGGCTGCAAGTAGTTCCATTTTCTCATCTTTAACGGCAGGGAACAGGCAGCTGAAGAAGGCAAGAGTAATATGAAATAATTACGAGACAAATTCTCTTCAAGATTTCATAGCATTTTTGCTTAAACATCCACCAGACTGAAGCTTATTTAAGAGGTGAAAGCAACAATACTGTGCCTTCTCGTGTGCTACCTAGGTAGTAATAGGGCACAAAAAGCACTTCGAACTGATCAGGTTTTTTTAACAGAAAGATTGCAGTTCTAAAAATTTATCCTAAGGAAATAATTTGAACAAATGCCCAAAGACGTCAATATAGAAGGTTCTTCATCACAACATTATGTCTAATAGCAGAAAAATACACAACTTTATGTCTAATGGCAAAATATTGTGTGTGATAGCAATGTTAGACACACACAACATTATATCTAACAGCAAAAGAATATGGCGAAACTAAGAACCCATCAGCAGGGAACTGGCTAAATAAGACGTGTTATACCATACAGTGAAATACAACGGAGTCATTAAAAATGTGAGTGCGTATTTTTATCACAGAACGATGTCCAAAATATACTGTTAATAGAAAAAAGTAAGTTATAAAATATTGTGAATAATGTTATTCAAAGTTGTTAAAAGAATTCAGAAAGAAAGACAAACAGAAGAAAGGAAGGAAGGGAGAAAGGAGGGAAGGAAGGAAGGAAGAAAGCTTGGACTTGCATATGTACATTCATTTATCATATGACAGAGGTTAGAAAAGGTCTGAAAAGAACTAAAATAAAATATTAATGGGGCCAGCCCGGTGGCATAGTGGTTAAGTTCGCAAGCTCCGCTTCGGTGACCTGGGGTTTGTGGGTTTGGATCCCAGGCACGGACATGCACACTGCTTATCAAGCCATGCTGTGGCAGCATCCCACATATAAAATAGAGAAAGATGGGCAGAGATATTAGCTCAGGGACAATCTTCCTCACCAAAAAAAAAAAATATATATATATATATATATATATGTTAACAATGATTATCTCTGGAGGGTAGGGTTACAGGTGATTTTTGTTTTCTGTTTTCATAAGTCTCTGGATGCTTACAATGATTGTATATGACAAATAAAAACACAATAAGTTTATTTCTGTTTTGTAATATAAGCAAAACAAAACAAAATAAAACAGAAGGGACGTGCTAGCCTAGTGAAAAGTGCTCTCATCAGGCCGCCATTTTCAAGCTGAAGCCGGATAGTCATTCCTATGGTAAGCACACTGCCAACACTAAGAGGAAGGAGGGTTTCATGCCCAGTTTTGTGAGTTCCTGGGAAAGCCATCTTATTCTCAGGGCTTTCTCAGTGTTCTTAATCAGACAAATTAAATTTCCTAGATTCTTGTGAAATACCAGAAAGTGAGAAACAGCCCCTATCCCCAGCAAGTTGATTCTTAAAATTGAGATTAATGAGAGTATTCAAAAGAGGTAAAAAAGTATGACCATGTAATTTGTTGCATAAACCTGGACACTTTTGAGCATGCAAAGGGTGCTATTAACAATTATGCCAGGATGATGGGAGTTAACTGGGAATATCTCAGGCAAACAGGGACATGTACAGTCATCCGGAGGGCTTTGAATGTAGGAGAAAACACAGTTGGTTAGGGGACTCACCAGGGAGAAGGCCTCTGCAGATCATATTACAGGTTATCTCACTGGATCCCCCCAGCAGCCCTAGGAGGATGGTTTCATCTCCATCTCTCTGGGGATCACAGAGTTGATGGGACTCACCCAGGGCACACTTGGATAGTTGTGGCAGCACCTGGACACCCATCCAGGACTCCCAACCATGCTTTGAGTCTAGAATGACCACCATGATGCGTGCTGTCTTACAAAGGGAAAGCTTCGCTGAGTTTTAGGTAATTTTTTAAAGTTAGGTGTACAAAAGGCAGAGATTGGCCTATGAGAAATACAAGCTACACAGGAAGAAGCAGGAGAAATTTAATGCATGTGTGTGCGTGTGCGTGCGTGCGTGTGTGTGAAAGAGAAAGAGAGATCAGTGAGGCACTCTGGCCTCCTGGCAGCTACAGGCTCTATTTATGCAGGTCTGCTGCCTCTATACGGTGGTGGTTGGAAGTCAGTGCATTTCTAGAGTTCCCTGTAACCTGTGAAGGAAGGTTTGTGCCTTTGGAGGAGGAAAGCCTGCTTCTGTATTTGTCGCACTCTGTGAACAGGCGCCTCACAACAGACATCTGCGAGAGGCTCCTGTGCCTGGAAAACAGAGGGAGGATTTAATTAGCAGCGCTTCCTCTCCCCCAGGCTGTCTTCTCTGGAAGCACTTGGGGAAGGGAAGTGGAGCACTTTGAGACTGAACTATTTGAGATCCAGGAAAGAAGGAAACTCTCAGCTCCAGTTAAATTCTCACAGCCACGAGCAGTGCAGAAGTTGAGCCCAGACACCTCCATCTGGAATGATTCCAGCTCTGTGCCTGTCGTAAGGATGTCTTTGCAAGGATAAGGAATGTAACCTCTTCAATAGCTTCCCTGATAGGAGAGGAGTGCCATGCATCTGAGCAGTCCACTCCATTCCTCATCGCCACCTGCCCAGACAATGTTTATTCTCAATTCAACAAAACATGCCCTTCTATCCCTGCTTAAACAGACTGATGGGGTTCAGGGCAGGCCACCCCAAGATGCGCCACTCTGGTATGCGGACTATTTAGAGCTAAACACAATAAAGGTTCAGAAGACTCAGGAAGGACATTTGGCCTTCTCCCCAACTGCCTAAAAGAATTTAGGATAGAAGGCCTGATCCAGGCAGGAGCTAATACCATGAGATAACTATCATATAATGTAAAATGGTGTGATAAGAAAGGCACCCACAAGCCCATTTTATCAAAATTCTGTCTCAGGCCACATTCTCTATAGGAGGCCCAACAAAAGTTGTCTAACAAACATTTGCTTTTGCATCTCCATATGAATTGCCTTCTTCCCCTTTAAAGTCCTAAACCACTATCCCCAACATCCTCCCTTGTCTTTAGCTGAAGATGGTATTTAAGGTGGCAATTTTGGCCCTTGTAGCAAATTGCTCAGTTTTCCTGGGTTTCTCCCATGTTTACATGTTATTAAACTTTGTTTTATTTTCTCCTGCTAACCTGCCTTTTTAATTCTTTGACCAGCCATGAGATCTAGAGGGAAAGGAGTGGGGGGAGGGAGTCCTCCCTCTTCCCCTATAAGACAACATACATCGAAATATTAAAAGCATATTAATACTAGTAACAAATCCAGTGAAAACAAGATGTCTCCATTGCTCTTACATGGATAAATGATGCCTTGCAACAGACCCATCGGAGCCATTTAGAATTGAAAAGGATCATTGTTCCCTAAGATTATCCAGCAAATTTATCTTAGCATATAGTGAACAGGAGTGTAAACGCAGTACAATTTCCAAGGGAAACAGACAGTCAAGGCTTAGAAAAAAACAATGTATACTTTTTGACCTAATTTTATCATTCCAGGGAATTCATGGAATGAAAATTATCCTAAAGAAGGAAAAGACTACAACATTAATTGCTTATTCTGGGTGGTGATGAAAAATTGGAAATCATCTAAACACCTAATGGCCAAGGACTCACTAAGTCTGTCCAATTGGTGTTGTGCACACACTTAAAACAGCAGGTACAAGCACTGAAGCAGCATGAGAGTAAAGGATGGATCTTCTTGGGTGAAAAAAATCAAAGACCAAAATTTTCCCTGGTAATGATGATTTGAATAATTTTTACATTGGTAAAGACTAGAGGGGAGATATTCAGATTGATTGAGGTGGTCGGATCATAAGTGAATCTTTGCTTTTTAAAAAATTTAAAATCGTGTGTGTGCTGCTTTCCTAATAAGAAACAAAATGTATGAATAAATGCAAACTCAGGAGCTTTCTGGATGAAATCTGAAACTGGCCCCCATACCTGGAAGGCAAGGAGAGACCGGAGAAAGAAGCAGACCCTTCCACATCGGTAGGTGGCAGGTTTAGTAAGCAAGGAAACTTACACGAAGGCTTGTCTTGGGTGTCCGCAAGACAGCAGATCTCCACACTGGCCCACCAGAAACTTAAAACTATATATAGAGGCCTTAACTGGGTTCAGCCACATATACCATCCAGATGGTCTCAAAAACACCTTATTCTCTCAAGGCTGCATCCTTCAAAATGACTCCCACTGTGGGAACAGTGGGTAGAACCTAATTTCCAAGGACAGGGAGAGGGTGAGGAGCTTCCCATTGCCTGGGTCACGTGGGCCAAACAGAGGTCACATCCTATCAATGACCTCCTCCAATAAAATGCCAAATAAAAACCTAAAGAGGTGCTACCCTTCCTTTGGTCAAACAATAAGAATTCTATATTTCTCAGCTGCCAGCAAATGCAGAGCTAAATTTAATACAGTATTGCAGTAAATAACTTATTTCTGGATCCTGGTCTAGCAGACCTGCCTCCTTTGTGTACATGCTTTCATCTATCTCTTTGTGACTTTTCTCATATTTCAGAAGCATATAGTGCATAAATTACAGCTAGAGAATTATCGTCTAGTCCAACTCCTTCATTTTGCAAATTTTGGAACACTGAGGTGAAAGACTTGCCCAAAGTCACACAGCTAAATAGAATCAAAACATGACAGCAGGCTCCTGGACTCTAGCTCACCATTTCAAGTTGTAGCACTTACAAGCAAAGTAGAGAAGCAACTATCAAACGCACGTACTGGTAAAATGGAGACGCTTTTGCCAAATGGCTGCTGCCAGTCAGCTTTGCTTTGCT